CTTTGAGTCCGTACTTATATCAAAATGTGGTTGGTTAGAATAGTGTATATGATTCTACCCCGTAAAAGTGAGGATAAATGAGGAAATGCAAGTCACGTTATGTCAGCACGACCGTAACTAAAACCCAAAGTATTTAAAACCCCCAAACTATAGAAATGATTGAAATATACTTGTTGTGAGTTATATTTTTTACATTATCGAACATCATAAAGTTTTACCTTTGGGAGAAGATAAATCATTCATATATCGCAAAAATAGACCAAAAAAAGCAATAGAGTGTCGTGTGCTGGTAAGATCACGCGAGTTGCCAACGTGTATCATAACGCATACCACGTTATCGCGCAGAGAAAGCGGCGGTAGTTCTGTGAAATCACTGCCAAGGTAAGACTAACGCTGTAGTCAAACGTTCTTGATCTACCGTATGTCATTCAGCTAAGATCATGTGCGTTGAAATGTGGCAGTAGGACATAAGTGTTCGTATTAAGTGACGAAATAAGATTAGCAGCGGAGTGGTAGGTATAAGAATAAAAAAAAGGAGATAGTTCTATGGATCTACAAAAAACAGTGGAGTAACCGACGCTTCTTTGCGGGATCCTAACACCCGATGCAGTCTACCTGAGTGGGCGTGTCTTATAGAAAGACATATTCATGCATTCATCGAGAAACAATATTATTTATTTGCATTTTCTATGGAGATTTCTGGAAATATTCATGTGCGTATTTGTGAATGCGTGAGAGAAAATGTTATTTAGAGGGATGACTTGATCTTCCTGGTCACCGTTCCTGAAAGTATTTTAATTGATTTTACCGTTTTTGTTTTTTTTTTCAAAATATAAGATAACTTTATTGACTTGAATTTCAACGGCTTTATCATTTATTATGTATGAACCTGTGTGTATAAATACGTATCATTTTTTTTAATATTAAAGTTATTGGAAAATAATAAAATAGCTTAAAGGGGCGTTAAATTTGGAATGTATTTCAGCTGATGCCAAACAATAGATTATCTCTTTAGATACACTGATAACACACTCCACAGAAGGGAAATTATTGTTATCTTTGTTATTTTTTCTTGTCCTTGTTCTTGTCTTATTAGCGTTATCATTATTGCTATTAGCATCATTACCAATTATATTTTTGTTATATTTTTAGTGTAGGTATTACAAGTATTATTGTTCCTGGTATCTTCATGTTTATATTATCATTATTATGATTTTCAGCGCGCGCGCGCGTGTGTGTGTGTGTGTGTGTGTATGTGTGTGCGTGTGTGTGTGTGTGTGTGTGTGTGTGTGTGTGTGTGTGTGTGTGTGTGTGTGTGTGTGTGTGTGTGTGTGTGTGTGTGTGTGTGTGTGTGTGTGTGTGCGGTGTGTGTGCGTGTGCGCGTGTATGTGTATGTGTGTGTGCGTGTGCGCTTGTATGTGTATGTGTGTGTGTGCGCGCGCACGCGCGTGTGTGTTTGTGGTTAGATAAATACAGATCCATGAAATAAACGAATAAGCACATTTCCTTCCTTTTCTGTCACCATTTCTTTTCTTTTTCTTGACCAAGGGCAGAATGATGCTGCAGAATGTCCAGGACGGCTGGCTGCCCGCTCGCTTCGCCGGGAGGGCCCTGAGGTGGCTGTGGTTTAAGAACAAGCCCGTCACCATAACTGTGGTGTTGGTGGTTGGTGTGATTAAAATACGGAAATACATGAAGAAGCAGGAAAGGAGGTGAGGAAATATCTTTATTTTGATTTTTTATTGATTTATTTATTTGTTTTGTAGAATTTGTAGATTTATTTATTTATTTATTTTGTGTATATTTCTTTTTATCTTTGTTGTTTTATTTGGGGAATCTGTTATTCGCGTGTTTTGATTATTCGCATATTTAAGTGTTATATCTGTCTGCTAACCTGTTCATGTATCTGTCCGCCAGTTTTTACGCATGTGTGTGTCTGTATAAAATAATTTATAACTTGTTGACGGTTTAAATACTTTGTTCTAACTGTCATTCAGTGGTATTATGAAAAGGTCCCCGGAAAACTATCAGTGAATCAAATATAAACAAAGCAAGACAAATGTAAATGATTCAATTTTTCAGATATCTCAATACGGGAAAATCTGTACATCATATTTAATCCCTAAACTATCACGAACATTTTTTTTTTTTTTTTTATATCTCAGAAAAAAAAAAGTTGAATGCTGTTCATAATCAAAATAAAACCAACAACCACCATGGTCTCCATCCTCCTAAGAAGTACAATACCACTTAACTAAGGTCCGTTTTTCGCAGGAAGAAATGGAACAACGCAGGCAAGGATGTGGTTGTTCTTCACATCCCATCTCGAGGCTTCTATTGCCCGAGTTTGTCTCCCTTCGTCGTCAAACTCGAGACCTACATCAGGATGGCGGAAATCCCTCATGTGGTGACGATCGTGTCCATTTGTAAAATTCTTTCGTGTTTTGTTTTTTTTCTTTTTTCTTTTCTTTTCTTAATGATTGTATGTCTGGAGTGGAAT